TAGAGTCAGTTATCCCACTTTCGGGCCTTATCCTAGTACCGACATCAATTCGAAAAGCAGCAATAACACCGAACAGATTTACGGAGTTAAAAACGCAAATATCAATCCAGTTTATGTCAAATCGCAAACCGAGCAACTAGAACTCCCGGCTGTACCTAGAAATAAAGTAATCCTACTCAGTCAGATCGAGCCACGGACATTCGATAAGGAATCCGAGGAAATGGCAGCCAACTTGTCAGCCTGGTTCGCCAGCATGCGAAACGCACAGCCTCCAGCGGCCACGTCGACCTTTGAGGAACCAAGGACGAACGAGAACTCGGCGCCGCGATTGTTCATTCAGGAGATGCCCAAGTACTCGATGATTATAGCCAAGCAACCGCAGTTTGACGCAAATCGGCAGTTCCAGGCGTTGCAAAACCTATCGAACATCCAGAGCACACCTTGGGCCGCTGGCAACTTCATCGGCAATCGTTTCCATGTGCAACAAGCGCCCGAAGAATACGATAGCTCTGAAGACGTGCGAGTGTACATGAAACCGGGCAGCTACAATGTTCCCAAGAAGAGACATCAAAGAAGACCCAATCGTCGATCAAGCAATAGCGGGTCTCGCAATGTACACGCGAGCAATCATCACAACGTGTGCGGTAATAATGGAAAAAGTGTATCGATACCAGCATCATCGACGCCTCTATCTCACGCGAACGCGTCAACCTTGCCCACCAACATCGGCAATACCACGCTGATAAAAACTTCGTTCCCGCCAGCTTCGCAGTTACCCGTGCCTCTATTCAATCTTGAGAGTTCACCTAGAATCTTGAAACGTACAGAATCTCTGTCGCAGGACACTCGTCAGGACGTCACCTGGAAAGCAGCGTGCGCCTCGGCTGAGATACTTCTTGAAGCCCTTAACATAAAGGACTGTAGTAATACGTCTAAAAACGTCGATTGCAACGATAGTAACAGCGAGAAGGAAGATAAGAATGATGATCCTGCTGAAGCATTAACAATCGTGTCTCAGCAGAGTGATCCAAAATCGTCAAAGCATGATAACGCTGATTGTGCGTCTTCTTATGAAGCCTCAGAGGATGATTCGGAATCCACGTACAGATTATCGCCTAGCATGAGTGTAGTTTCAGTGTCTCAGTCGCGCGAGGATGAGAATGGTAAAGAATTTTATAAAATATATATATATATATTTTTTAGATAATTTTGTTGAAAATTTTTTTCAGAATTTTTCATAAACTTCTTTAAATTATTTAAATTTCTAAATTTTTGAATAACTTTGTGACTTTTTAGAAAATTTCTCAGTTTTTTACAAACATTTTTTTTTTTTACAAAAACTGGAACTTTTCAGAAGAGAAGTACTGACAAAGTCTACATCTTATCTAGAATTCTTCATACTTCAGTGAAATATTCTAAGATTTTTAAGATTTTTTATTTCTGTAATTTCTAATAAAATCTAATAAAATATGAAAAAAATTAAGTTTATTTTTTGAAAAATTATAAAAATCCAAGAAACCTTTGAATATTTCAGAATTCACATATATGAAAAATTTCAAGAAAAAATTCTCTAAAAAAAAGTTCTAATTCATATTAAAATTCTGGAAAAAGTTTTCACCAGAGGAAGAACTAATTAACACTACTTTATTAGAGTAAAGAGTAAAGCATTATATTGAAATAATAAACTTTCTCGCGAGGATTTCACGTGTATTTCGTCATTCAGATTATCGAAACTATTTAAAAATGTCTCGCGATCTTTTTGCAGGTGGTACCTAGTAATAAGCAAAACAATCCTTTTCTAAAAAGCATGTTCAACAGCTCTCGGTATCAAGACCAACGTGAAAACGGATTCCTGGCTGATCAGGACTCTCAATAATGTGAGTATCATCGGTAAGCAGAAGCGACATAGGGACGACGTAGATCGACGAAGTTTAGAGTCTTCGAATAGCTCGGAAATTGACGTAAAACCGGATCAGCTCGCATCGTCGTTAACCACGGATGCAGATATAAAGACTCATGTGACAATCGTCGATAGCGAATATCCAGCGATCTTCTCTCGCGAGCATGTCTCTAGTTCTTTCGCGAAGAACGACGAAACGTCGACAAAAGAATTGGAAAGTCACGTCGGAAGAGCCACGTATTCTGAAACGGTACGAAGATCCATAAAAACAAACAATCTACACCTTGAAAAGAAAGAGCCGCTGAAGTCGTGCGCAACCAATTCATCGGTGACCACCGTAATACCAATTCCTGGCCGCAAGTGTCAGAGGAACGACCCCGTACAATCCTATCAACTTCTACACAAATCACGAAAATCGGCCGACAAGAAGACGATGAAAAATGCGGACAGCAATGATCTGCAATTGGAGGAGGGATCGTGCATGAAAGTCGGCACTGTCAGAATAAACAATATGTCAAGTATGAGAACAAATCATGGGAAGAAAAAGGATTTGGAACATTTGGAAGGCAAGTGCGCCAGCAAATCGAGCGATCGTGGCTGGACGGTGTGGTGCAGTTCCAGGAGAAAACAGAGTCTCAGTCCTCTGATATTCAATAAGTTAGAAACGATTCATCGAACTATCTGGCAGATGGACGAGGCGAAGATTATCAAATATACACTCTCGTACGATAATAAAGATGGCCAGTCTTCATCCGCGTTAATAGTTAGTTTCAAAGAAAAGAAAGCAACATATGTATAATATTTGATGAAATAATTTTTTTTTTATTTTCAGATGGAAGATTACTGCAAGATTGTTAAAAGTCCGATGTTTCTTGAGCTTATCGAGTACAAGCTGAAAAATCGGATTTACCATAAAGTCGAACACGCTGTACAAGATTTTCGTCGCATTATTAACAACGCGAAATTAAATCATCAGGTAAAAAATAGACAATTTTTTTGTATCCAATTTATTTCTTTAATTATCTTATAAAAATCATATGATGCAATAAATCGATGCCTGAAATTGCATCATTCAATATTCACAAAACTAGATTGAATTTAATATTTGAATTTTTAAAAAGAAATTTAGTTTCGAGAGATGAATTTTTCTCGATTTTGTTTAATTTGCGTAGATTTCAATTAGAGTAGAAAACAAATGTTTTTTTTTGCAGCACGACGATGAACAAATAAAGAAGATTGAGGTGCTCTCAAAGAAATTGGAGGACTTACTTGAAAAACATTTCGGCAATTTGGACTTTGACAATATTACCGGCAGTCCGGGAGAAGATTCATCTATGCAGCTGCGATTTAAGACATCTGGACAGAAATTGATTACCGGACGCTACGATAGCACGAAGAAAAGTATATCGATCATTGCGGAGGATTCTTCGCTATACTGACTGTTGCTTTTCGTCGAAATGAAAAAAACTCAAAATTAAATTATTGCAGCAAAACTATTAGCGAAAGTAACGTTCTTTACAGAACATTGTGCGTAAGAATTTTTTCTAGTCACAAGCCATTTTGTACGGTTAATGATGTCGTAGGTGTTTTCTTTTTCCCATTCTCAAAAATCGGAATCGCTGTCTGATGGCTATAAACTACTCGTTTAATTTTTCTCTTTCCGAATGATTTTAATAACTATGGAAAATGCGCGTGTGTTCTGTCTACTGATAACAATCTCAATTTCATAGCGATATCTTAGTAAAGGAAGAAAAACTGTATTAAATGCGAGCAATCATCGGACAGTATCGAATTTATTTTTATATGAAAAAGAAAGTAGTGTGCGATAGCAAAGTATCAGCGATATAATGTAATTTCCACGTTCATTGTTACTTATAAAACAATTCGATCTTTTAACTTCGATGCTCACGTTCAGCATCGAAGTTAAATTAGTTATATCGTTAGATCAGAGTGATATGAATCGTAAAATATATTTCGCTGACCAGTCTGAATTAATATTATTGTCTAAAATTTTTTCTAAGTCTTTTGTTTGCAATCTAGTGTGTAAGTAAAATTAATGAGAGTATCATATAAATATTAAGCGAAATATTGAAAGTATTATACAGATTTTACTTCACGAAGCTCAGCAGTTTGTTTTCGAGACTCAAGTAATGAAGCTGAAGAGACACAGATTGATACAAACCGAGCTGAAGCTTAAAGATTTTAGAGTCCATTTTCTTTTATTATTTCAAAAATATTAATTTTTTACTTGTGTCATTTTTTTTATTAGCAATATGTCCAGGCTGACAATTAAGAAAATTTGATCACAAAGTTTTGTATTTATCAAATTATTATATAGTGATCTATGTAGAACTCTGTAGTAGTAATGTATATTTAAAAAAACAAACTCTGGAGTTAATTACACTTTATTAAGGCTGTTTTCGTCATTCCCCATTCTTCTTAGCTTTATTATTCAATGAATAATAAAGATATACAGAACAAGATTTCTGTCAACTGTATTTCCTAAAAGGAAAGTAGTCTATTTCCTAAAAGGAAATATCAAAAAGATTCTGCATCAAAAGATTTTCATCGGTTAGTGAAGATCACTTTATTGATTACCTGGGAGAATTTATTCATGGAAAGATGCGCGATCATTGTGATATATTTCCGAAAGGTCTTGAAGCTTGGATAAAAGTTAAAGGTGGCTATTTTGATGTTAATTATTATTTTTGGTATTATTATATTTAATAAGATTTTATTATAACAATTCAGAGTTTGTTTTTTTTTAAATATACTATATACAATACTAACGTTTTATTAAACACAAAACTTTGTGGTCAAACTTTCTTTTATCATCAGAGTTGCTAAAACCAATATATATATTTTTTAAGATATTGTGTTTCTTCTTAAATATGTTTTTAATATTTCAAATACGCTTTAAAAAGTATTATAAAAAAACATATTTAAAACATTAAAAACATCAATTAAGCATGTTTAAAATATGTTTTTTTATCAACTCTGTCACTATAAATACGTATCTATCATAAATATAAAGTTCCTACGCACGCACCACCGCTTAGAAGTTGACACTTCTCACGGAACGAGTTAGTCGACACGGATTATGGTAATGTCAAACATCACGAACATCACGATCGCGTCAGCCAGTCAGCCGGAGATAGTGATAATCACGTAAACGAAGTTGCAGGCGTAGCGGCCAGCGAACGACGTTCCTTGGGTTCTTCAGCAGAGAACCGCGAGAGAGATGCAACCGCTGCAGATCACCGAGAAGCAGAGCGTGAAGCAGATTCGCGAGTGAGCGTTGTGGGAGAAGGAAAGGCGGCCCGCTGCGGGACAAACTAGGCCCGGGGACGAGCACTGTTCTTGGCCGCGCGAACGCGCCAAGCTGTCAAGATGGATTGGGAGTTATTGACGATGGCGAGTCTACATCTGACCGCGACCGAGCACCGTTATTACGGCGACATATTCATCTACTGCTGCGAGAATGCGGACAGCGACAGCGTTCCCGTGATCAAAGTCGCCGAGTTGTTGCGCTCGGCTAACCTGCCGCGGGACGTCACGATGAAGGTGAGCTCCGTGGCATAATGGAAGTGTGACATTGACGTTTCCCTGATATCGTCGTAACAGACTTCATCTCAGTATTCGAGAGCTTTTTGTACCGAGGTGACATATGTGCAGATGGACAGAT